GATCGAAACGGGGTTGGCCGAGTGCGAGGCAAACACCCAACCGGCTGTACTATCGCTCCAGCACCCCTCCACGAATACTTCTGTCTCTCCAAGTTTAGCTATTGTAAATAATGCTGCAATAAAGCGTGGAGGTGGACATGACCTCGTGTGGCCATGGTTTTATGTTCATGGAGGAAGCACGCCGACGTAGGGTATTGGATCAGCTGGTACCTCTCCTTGGCTTCCAGAGGGACCACAGCCCCGCCTTCCCTGACACCAGCCCCGCCTCGCTCCACGGACATCTCGGTTTCCAGGCCGTGCCTTTCATTTCTGCGTCTGTCCTCACGTCCTCTGCAGACGGTGCTCGCACCCCTGCTTCTCCAAAGCAAGTTCCCCTGGTTTCTTTTTCTCGTCTGCTTGCTGCGGCAAGGACTTTCAAACCATATCCGTGGTGGAGAGCCAGGCCCTGGGACAGACGGCCCCGGCTTCTGTGTCGCAAGGGCCATTCTCTGCGCCTTAGCCGACCGAGGTAAGGCAAGAATCCAGGTGTCCATCTGGAGGGGTTAAGGATGGGTCAGGGACACCTGGGGCAGTGGACTCGGATCAGAAACGACTAGGTCTTTGTCCTGATGACATGAACAGGATTGGAGGGCGTGCTCAGTGCCAGAGGTGGGCCGAGAGGGCAGGGGTGGGGAGTGGGGGGGGGCTGTTGTACTTTGGTGGTGACGTTTGTGTTGGAATATTTCTTTCGAGGGCGTCAGCCCAGAAATATCCACTGTTGTACACCGACATCCCATCACGACAAAATAAAATGACAATGGGGACCAGAGAGAGAGTACAACGGGGAGGACGTTTGCCTTGCACGCGGTCGATCCGGGTTGGATTCCTGGCATCCTGTACAGTCCCCTGAGCACTGCCAGGAGTGATCCTGAGTGCAGAACTAGGAGTGATCCCTGAGCATCTCCAGGTGTGGCTCCCAAACAAACAATAGTAAATAAAATGGCAATGAAAAATGTAAGTGTCTGTCATGTGCCTGTGTTGGACACTGATAACACTTCTCCGGTATAGCTGCATCCCTTCCCCTGGAAATGCGGGTCTCCTCCCCCAACCCCGCAGGACGCAGGACCAGATACGAACACTAGGGGGCAGCACGCACTTGCAGTTCAAGAACCAAACGTGCCCCTTCAGCCGAAAGCGTGGCTGTCAGGGTCAGAGGACCCGGCAGGTCTCCCTTGACTCTGGTGTCCGGTGGGGGTCTTCTTCAGGAGAGGCGATGCTTCTGGAATGAAGGGGGGGCCGCGGCTCGGCTAGAGCCCCAGTGGGAGCCCGTGGCCCAGCCTTCCCCACGCTCACAGGTGGGGGTCTGAGCACGCGCACGCGCGCACACACACTGGGGGGGGGGCAGACTCCAAACCTGGGGCCTCCTCCGGACTGAGCCTGGTGGTATCTGAACCCCTCCCCACCCCCCATCATTGTCCTTGGACTCTTGTCTGGTCATCAAGCCGGAGAAGTGAGCAAGAGCTGGGGCAGGGGGGCCTCTGCACGTGTCTGAGCCCCTCCAGTGGCACTGGGGCGGGAGCGGTGGTGTTGACGCTCAGGGCTGACTCCTGTGCTCGGGGCTCACTCCTGGTGGCTTTGGGGGACACATGGGGTGCCAAGGGCCGACCCAGGCCACCCCCCCGGCCCCACCGTGCTGTCTCCTCTGCCCCTCTTTTATTAGGACTTACAAATTGAGAAGGGACCTTCGAGTCCTCTCTGGGGGACGTTTGGAAGGGCGCATAGGGGCTCCCGCGTGGACAGTGGCTGGAGAGTGAGGTGAGGAAGGGACAAGGACGGGGCCCAGACTGGCCCCTCCTCCCCTGGCAGCAAGGATGGGGAAGCCCTAACCCCACGCCTGCACGCTGAGCTCCTGCCGGGCTCCCCAGGATTGAAGCGGTGCAGGCCTAAGGGGGAGGCGGGGACGGCCCCAGCAGGTGAGACCATGGCCACAGCCCAGCGCTCAGGGAGATGCCCGGCCCACTGACCTCGGGGGTCACCGCCCACACTGGCCACCCACTCCCTTGGGGCCTGCGCCCATCCCTTCCTCAGGGACTGCTTGGGGCCAGGTGTGGGCTGGAGTGGGCACCATGGAGGAGTTTCTGGCCCCTCCAGGCTGTTTGCCTCAGCCCAAAGCCGCCCTGTCCCTGCCCTGTCCCCTCCTGGACAGGGCCCTGATGAGAGCAGACATCTGGAATCTGCTGCCGCGGCAGATCTTATCTGCGGGCGCTGGGTGCCGTCTGGGCAGGGCCTGGCCTGGCCCAGGGTGCTCTGGACAGTGGGTACCCCAAATAGAGCGTCTTCCCAGTAGCCCCGCATGCGTGGACAGCCTGACCACCGGGTCCCCACTAGAGCGCCCTCACACTCAGACTCTACATTGACAAAGCCAGGTGGGACGGCCTGGGAGAAGTGTCCGGGCCGCGGTCACCCAGCTAGTCCCCCTCCCCCCCACCCCCCGGGGATCTCTGTCCTGCTGGGCCCCAGGCCTGGTTGCCGTTGAGCTGACCAGAGGCATGGCACTGCCTTCACTGGCCCCCAGCACGGTTGGGTTGGAGAGGAAAGCTGAGTCCCCACCCTCAAGATGGGTCGGCGCATGTGGGCCCCTCCTGCAGGCCGGCCTCGTGCCCTGGTGGGGTGTGGGGGTCCCCAGGGGAGCAGGCGTGAAATGGTGCCATTCTTTCCTGTCGCCAGCTTGGTGGGGCCCAGAAGCCCCCCCTTTTTTAAAGATTTTTTTCTTTTCTTTTTTCTTTTATTTCCTTTTAAATTTATGTTTTCCACTTCCTCCTTAACATTTTTACTGTTCTCCCTTCCTTTATGGTGGTGGAGTGTTTAAAGACACAGAAAATGCGGAGACTGGCTCCTGGTCCCCAAGCCCGGCTGTCAGCCCCCCTCGGCTCCCCCAGGCACTTGGGAGCTCCTGTCAGCATGGCCCGGGGACTCCTGAGACAGGCCCAGGCCACCTCTCTTCTCAGCGGCCAGATTCCTGTCAAATTAGAAAACTGAATTAAGACAAGAAAAGAGAAATCCAGCTTTTCACTGGGGCCCAGGGGGCACCATGTAATGAGTTTTGACACGTGCTCGCAGTTGCATTTGAAACCCCAGTAGAAAGACATTCAAATGGACAGAATCATTTCTGCCACTTCCGCCTCCTCCAGACAGGGACCAACTTTGGGGATCTTTTTTCCCTTTTTTTTTCTGTTTCTCTGAAAGATGCTTAGTTTCAAAAGCTGAGGAGTTAGGACTGGAGAGGGCGTCTGCCTTGAATGGGGCCAACCCAGCCCCACCCCCCGCATCCCCTCCGGTCCCCTGGGCACCTCCAGGAGTGATCCCTGAGTGCAGAGCCAGGAGTAATGCCTCAGTGCCGCCGGGGTGACCCCCAAACAGAAACAAAACAAACAAAACTCAACTGTGAAAGTGAAATCCATTTGAGCTTGATGTGTGCGAGCTTGATGTGTGCGAGCTAACCCTCCCTGTTGTGCGAATGCCCTGCTGCACTGTCTCCTGGTGAGCTCCTGGGAACCGGGCAGTGCGGATTCGGGAACCAGGGCGGCCCCGAGGGGGGACCCTGCCGTCTGGCCTGCTTCTGCAGTAGTCGGATGCCGCCGTCACCGCCTTCTCTGCAGCTTTGCCCTGTGTCCTGATTCCCGACCATGCGTCCCCCTCGGAGGGGAAGTTCTGGCCAGCCAGGGTGTGGGTGGAAGAGGCTGGTTTATGAGTGTGTGCCTGTGTGTGTGTGTGTGTGTGTGCGTGCGTGTGTATGCGCGTGTCTGTGTTGGTATGTGCCGTGCATGTGTGTGTGCCTCTGTGTGCATGCCTGTGTGTGTGTGTGCGCGTTGTGCCTGCGTGTGTGCGCCTTTGTGTGCATGCCCGTGTTTGTGTGTGCATTTGTGTGTGCGCGCGCACGCCCACCTGGCCCAGCGCTGCCCCTGCCCCCACGCCACCCCCCCACACCTGGCCTCAGCCACGCCTTGGCCACAGCATCTGGAGTCCACTTACCGGTCACTGGGCCGCGAGCCCTGGCCGCGGCAGTAGATCTGGCTCGGAACCCGCGGCCAGCCTGACCGAGGACCCGCCTGGCCCGTTGCTCCCGCGATGCGAGCGTGCGCCCCTCCCTCGCCACGCGGGAACCGTGTGTGGGCTTCGAACTGAAGCCGCTGTCCCGAGGGGCCCGGGTCTGCTGCCCCAGAATTTGGGGGTGGCTCCAGCCTCACACCCGTGCATGCGTGTCCGTGACCCCGCTGCCCCCACCCCGGGGCTGCATTCTTTCTCTGGCCGCGGGGCGGCTCCTCGCGCTGGCCGCGCTGCCCTGGGGTGCGGGCCAGTCTCCTGGGGGCCCTGGGCGTGAGTCTCGGAAGGGGTGGGAGGGCTGACCCGGCTCCCCCGCCGCCCCCGAGGGTCACGGGGGCGCGGAGGTGAGGTTGGGGCACGGCCTCGTGGGGCTGGGGGCGCCGGGACCCGCTCGGTGTGCATGTGCGTGTGATCTCGTACTCAGAGAGAAAAGCGCTCGTGCATTTTTGGAAAATATTTATTAAAAAACTAAAGTGAATGTGGCAAAATCGGACCCCCCTCCCCCCGCGAGTACCGGTGAGTAGCGAGCCGGGACCCCGCCCGCTGCCCGCCCGCTGGCCCGGGGTCCCGAGGACAGGCCTGTGCGCGGGGCCGCCAGCGAACGAGCAGACACCAGGGGCGGGGAGCGGGACAGGCCAACAGGCGCCCGGGGCCCACGCAGGGAAGGACGAGCTTTGTGCCTGCTGGGGCCGGGGAGGGGGCGAGCCACTAGCAAGCCGGTGTCACTCGGCCCCCAGCCCTGAGGGCGTTGCGGCCCGCCCCGCGCAGGGGCCCTGGGGTGGGGTTGGGGGGGGGCGGGCAGCGGGTGGGCGCCTCCCATCCCGAGCGCGCTGGTCACAGGCGCCCCCGTGCCCCCGGGAGGGACGCGCGTCCGCCCCGCGCGCCCCTGGGCCGGCGGGCGCGGCGCGGGCCGCGCGTCACGGGCAGCACGTGGAGATGGTCACGTTGATGCCCAGGTTGCCGTTGTCGGCGAAGAGGTGCGCGATGGCCGTGTCGAAGACCAGGCAGTCGCTGTTGAGGATGGCGGCGGCCACGCCGTCGTGGATGGAGCGCGGCGTGGCCTCCCACGTGAGCCGGCGCCGGTTGCCGTTGAGCTCCAGGCGGTAGGCGAAGCTCTCGGCCTGCTTGCGCGTGCCGATGAGCAGCACGATGGCGAAGAACTGCTGGTGGCCCTCGTACTTCTCCTGCTTCTCCAGCACCAGCATGAAGTGGTGGCCGAAGCACGACTGCATCATCACCCAGTCCACGGCGCCCGGCAGGTTGATGTCCGTGGCCAGGAAGACGATGTCCTCGCCCTGCAGCGTGGTGATGCTCTTGTGCGCGTGCATCAGGTGCGCCATCACCGCCTCCAGCGCGCCCTGCCACTTGCACGAGGCGCCGGGGCACGGGCACGCGTACGGCCGGAACTCGCACACGTCCTCGTGCTCCGGCTTCTCCGTGTGGTGCAGCGTCAGCGAGCAGCCCGTCGTGGCGTACTGCGGGGGGCGGCAGGGGAGGGGGAGGGGCGCTGAGACCCGCGTCGTGGCCGGCCTCCAGCCCCGCCCGCGCAGCCCCTCCTAAGCCCCCAGGAGCCTCCAGCCCCGCCCACGCAGCCCCTCCTCCCCCAGGGGCCTCCAGCCCCGCCCACGTAGCCCCTCCCCACCCAGGAGCCTCCAGCCCCGCCCGCGCAGCCCCTCCTAAGCCCCCAGGAGCCTCCAGCCCCGCCCAATCAGCCCCTCCTCCCCCAGGGGCCTCCAGCCCCGCCCACGTAGCCCCTCCTCCCCCCGCCTCCAGCCCCGCCCACGCAGCCCCTCCTCCCCCAGGGGCCTCCAGCCCCGCCCACGTAGCCCCTCCTCCCCCAGGGGCCTCCAGCCCCGCCCGCGCAGCCCCTCCTAACCCCCCCCAGGAGCCTCCAGCCCCGCCCACGCAGCCCCTCCTCCTCCTAGGGGCCTCCAGCCCCGCCCGCGCAGCCCCTCCTAACCCCCAAGGAGCCTCCAGCCCCGCCCACGCAGCCTCTCCTACCACGCCTCCAGCCCCGCCCACGCAGCCTCTCCTACCACGCCTCCAGCCCCGCCCACGCAGCCCCTCCTCCTCCTAGGGGCCTCCAGCCCCGCCCACGCAGCCCCTCCTAACCCCCCCAGGAGCCTCCAGCCCCGCCCACGCAGCCCCTCCTCCCCCAGGGGCCTCCAGCCCCGCCCACGCAGCCCCTCCTAACCCCCAGGAGCCTCCAGCCCCGCCCCCGCAGGCCCCGCCCCCGCGGGGGCCTCTGCCCCGCCCACGCAGTTCCTCCGCCCCCCCCCCCCCCCCCCCGCACACGCCCCCGCCCCGCAGAAGCTTCCAGCCCCACCCGCACAGGGGGTCTCCGCCCCACCCATGCAGCCCCCTCCTCCCGCCCCCGCACGAGTCTCCGCTCCGCCCACCAAGTCCCCCCTCCCCTCCCCCCGCAAAGGAGCCTCCAGCCCCGCCCAGCGCAGCCCCTCCTCCTGTCCCCCCAAAGGAGCCTTAGCCCCGCCCAGCGCAGCCTTCTGCCCCGGTGCCCTGTGCCCCGCCCCTCCTCTCCCCTCCCCCCCAACCCTGCCAGCCCGTGTCCCCTGCCTAGGGGCTGCTCCCGAGGCCGCGCGGTCAGGCCCCGCAGTTTCCCGGCCTCGCCAACACTGGAGCCGTGAGAACGCCCTGCGGGGACTCTGACCCGCCCAGCCTGTCGGGGCCGGGGGTGCCTGGCTCCCGGAACCGGGGAACCGGGGCTCTGAGCTGCGGGGTCCTGGGGCTGGGGGCGGGCTGGAAGGTGCGGGTCCCCCTAGGTCACCTGGGCCGGCCAAAGCCCAGCCGGGGCAGCCGGCGTTGCTGCCTCCGTCCACCAGCGAGGCGGGGGTGCAGGGGCAGGGTCCCCGGCTGGTTGGGGCCATCCCCCGCCCTCCCCGCCTCCTCCCTTCGCACCTACTGCTGGTGGGAGCGGGGACCCCGGGGGTGGGGGCGCTATGCCAGAGACCACCCAGACGGGGAGGCCCACGACCAAACCCAGGGAAAGGGAGCTGGGGGGCTCCGGGGGCAGCCTCAGGTCTGGGGTCCCCTCGGGAATCGCCTGAGCCCCGCCAAAGCACGGGGACACAAGCGGCGCGCAGCGGGGCCTGGGGGACCATTTCCCAAGGAACCAAACAAAGCCAGCAGAGCCCGGCTCCGGGGCCCCGGACCCCGCCTAGAAACGCTCCTCTCCCGGGGCCGGTCTCCGGGATCCGGGACTCGGGGGGCTCCCCGAGGAGCTGCAGCCGCCCCAGGGGGAGTCGGCCCAGAGGCGTCCCTACGCGTGCCGCAGAGCGCGAGTCCCGGGCACCCAGCGCGCAAAGCTGCTGCCTCGGCCTCTGCGCCCAGCCCCCGGGGTCCTCCCTGTGACCTGCAGACTCGGTTGAGTAAACAGCAGTGGGTGGCGCCACCCGGGCAGAAGCCGTGGACCCGCCTGGCCGGCCCCCCGCCGCCGGACTCCGCCCGGGACAGCGCGCACTCACTGTGCTCCGGGTCCGGGCGTGGCCAGAGGGCCCGACGCGCCTTGCCCAGCGTTGACACAGCAGGCGGCGGCCCGGCTGGCACCGCGCGCTGGAACAGGGCCTGGCGCGGTTCGCCCCCTCCCCCCCAACCCGTGCCCACCGCAGCCGGGGCGCCGCCCACAGGCACCATCCCAGGGGCGAGAATTCTGGGCAGCACAGCGCCCCGCACCTGGCCCTCCCCAAGCCACCCGATGGCAGAACTGGGGGCCACGAGGCCTGTCCCACCCGCCCCTTGTCCAGGCCAGGCGCGGACGGTCCAGTCCCGACCACCTGGGACGCCTCCCAAGGTACCTCCCCGCCAGGAGGGCGAGGCAGGCGCCGGTTTTTTTTTTTTAAAAATTTTTCTTTTTTAACAAGCTGAACTTGCAGGCCCGGCTGTTCCCGCAGCTTCCACGGCGGGGAGGGCGGTCGGGGCTCCCGGGAGCCACGTGTGAGCGTGAGCTAAGGAAAGCTCGCGCCAGGCGGGCCCCTGGGACCAGAGCGAGGGGCTGCGCAAAGCCCACCGGTTGGCACCCCCTCCACCCTAGGAAGCTCCAAGACTAAGGGCGGGGCACCTCCGTTCTGCCTCCCAGCCTCTGCCCAGTCCCCCGTACATACACCAGAAGGCCCGATGGGTGAGGGGCGCAGGGCCAGGGAGGGGTGCTGCTGGGGGTGGGGGGCCTCGCGGGCGCAGGGAAGGGCTCCCCTCGCCGGCTGGTGGGCTGCTGACATTTGGGGGACACCCCAGTTGTCATTGGGGGTCTCTGGGCCCGCAGTGAGGGCCGAACGGGTGTCTGATCGTAAGTGCCGGATGGGTAGCACCCCTCGCCCCTCACTCGAAGTTCTATGGCCAGCCCCACTGCTGACCCCCAGTAGCAGGTAGCTCGGGGAGGGGGGTGTTTGTGGCGGGGTCTTCCTTCTCCGCCCACTGGGGACTGGCCCTGGTCTCGACGACGATGACAGTCACATGTCCCCAGCCCGTGTCTCCTGGGGAGACAGTCATCCCAGAGAGCTGCTGGGCGGGCTGTGGCCACAGGAAGCAGGTGATTGGGGCAGGGTGGGGGGCGTCCTGCCCAGTGGCGCTGCAGTGCCCGCCCTGAACCCGGGGCGGAAGGTGTGTCACTCCCCCTCCACGGGTCCGGCGTGACGCACGGTCACCGGCAGGTGCGCGCGGCTGCGCCATCCTCTGTGCACGCACGAGCGACCCAGACCTGCGTCTCCGTCTGCACGAGCCCCCTCCCTCCCCTGCAAGCCCCCGCCCCAGACAGACTGGACTTAGGTTCCAGTGCGGAGGGCGACACCAGCCGTGCCCCTCCGAGCCCTGCGCCCCCCTCCCGACCCTCCCCGCCCGTGGGCAGTGCTGAGGGGTCTCACTTTTCACTCCTCGAGGGCCTGGCCTCACCACCGCGCTGGGTCCAGGTGCCGTGGTGCCGGGGCGGTGCGTGCTGGGGACGGGGACTCTAGAAAGCGGCTTTCCCCGGGGGACGGGGGACGGGCCTGCCTCTGCCTCGGGGGCCGGGGGGGGGGGCGGGGAGTGGCGGGGGCACAGGGGACACAGCCGCGAAAACAAAGAGATGCGCCGAACCGCGCTTCTGCTTTGGCTGTGGCAGAGGGGCCAGCGGGCCAGGCGAGCCAGACCCTCTGCTGTGACCCACAGGGTGTGTGTGTTGGGGGGGGGGGCACCCGGCCTTGTTTTCTTGAGTCCTTGTAGGAAGCAGCTGATTCTCTTCCTGGGCATGGTGTGGGAAGGGGTCCCCCACATGGGGCGCAGAAATGCCCCTGACACTCCGCCAGGACTGTCTGTTCCCTGGCATCATTTAGCGCTGGCATCCACTGTTCATTTTTATTTATTTTGTTGTTGTTATTTATTATTTTGCTTTTGGGGTCACACCCAGCGATGCGCAGGGGTCACTCCTGGCTCTGCACTCAGGAATTACTCCTGGCGGTGGTTGGGGCACCGTATATCGGGATGCCAGGGATCGAACCCGGGTCGAACACATGCAAGGTGAATGCCTTACCCGCTGTGCTATCGCTCTGGCCCTGACACCCGCTGTTCACCTGCTACACGCAGTCACATTACACCTGCTTCCAGAAGGAGAACTCTCTTCAGGAACTGGCGCTGGTCAGGGGTGTCCTGGGTTGGTTCAGGACAAGCCCTTTCTCCCCCGTACCCCAAATGTGCCAACACCCGGCAACAGCCACCCACAGAGGTGGGGATCGCCCCCGGGAGACGGTGCAGGAACCACCCAGCCCCCGCCTTTACCTCCCGGGAAACACTGTTTGCCAAGTACCAGCTGGCACCCCAGTTGGAAAACGTGGAAAATAACCCACACCCCCAAATGTGGGACGGATCCTTTGCTGCTGCCGCTTAAATGCCCGTTAGCTGAGATGTGACCCTCTTTGGGGAATTAAAACGCACAGGGCTTTTCCTGCTGGAGGGACCGGCAGGACGGCCGAGGGCCCGGTCTGGACCAGCCTTTCCTGCACATCAGGGCTGCGACCAGGACTGTTGTTGGGGGCAGGGGACACAGGCAGAGGCTGTGGTTGGGGGCTGGCGTCAGCACATGCCCCATTTCCCGAGCCAGACCCCCGAGCCATCAGCATATAAGAAAACGGCAGAACAGGTACCCGGGTGACACTCACTGCAGTTCAGGCCACAAAAGTACTTTGGAGCGGCCAGATGGCGAAGCAGGTGGGGCCAAGAGTTGGGTCCCCGGTGCTGCCCGCTGCGGCGTGTGGGTGGGGGCTGCCCATCTGGGCCCCTGGTACCATGTGGCCCCCAGCCACGTGTGTTCGAGCACCGTGGCTAAGGGGCACGGCCACGCATGAGCACGACCCACTCCCCTGCCATGGCCACAGCTACAACAGTGATGATGGGAAGGAAACAGGGACTTCACACGCTATTGTGGTAATTCCCGGGTATTTTTGAAAATGTCAACAAAAATTTAAATAAAGGTAGAGTGGGGGGGGGGGGG